GTCGTTTACTTTTTCACAACAGCCAGGAACTGTGCAGGGACACTTAGCCCTTGATTTTTAGCAGTTGACCTACTCCCCACAGAACAAAATGGCTAACCATGTCTTATCCAAGAGGTTTGTAGTCTCCCATTAAAAAATACCTGTGTTTAATCAGAAAGACTTAAGATCACTTATAAGTGGTGAGCAGACAAAGCACAACAGAACTTCACTACCAACTTTTTGATTCATTCTAGTTGCAATAGATATGTATTCTTCTAACTATTGTCATCCTAGACACCTGGACAAAGTGCCAGTAGTGTCTAGGATGTAGTAACAATAGTGTTATTGTTAGTAGTGTCCATTGTAGTAACAATAATAGTAATAATGATGAAGATTTTGTATTGAGATTTCTGAAATCACACAAGAGTTTGAGGCATGAATGTGCCCTTGAAACCATTCCTATCCTTTCTCGTTCTGCTCTATTATTTACAGCTATGTTCACCATCTGAAATAAAAACAGGATGCTAAAAATAAACATATATGGAAACCAACATACAATCACAGGAAGGCCAGTGCAGTCAGTTGTTTCAACAAGTATTAACAGGCTAAGGTAAGTTTGAAGCACTCCCTGTCCCACCAAGGTCTACATTTCGCTAAGTTAATGAACGTAAGACTCGCATAGTGGGCATCTTCAGTGTGACTTGAATTTGTTATATGTTAGCTAAATAGAGGTAAAAGAAGAAAATTTTTTGGTGAAGATGGGTTCCAAGGGGTTATCTGCACTCCATTCAAATACTGATTGTACAGCCCATCTGCTTTGCTATTCTTTCATTAAAAATCTGTAAAATTAAACCAAAGCGCTAGGAAGTAGAGAAGAGCACAAAGAGGTAGAACAGTAAAATTCTTTCTGGAATAGATATCAAGTACATGTATTGCCTGAAGTTCAGACAAGGTAAGTTGTTTAACCTTTCGAAGCTTATCTTTTTTTTTGGAAGAATAAGCACATGGTGAAAACTGTGGGCAGAATGTAGGTGAGCCTAAAACCAGGTACCTTTGAGCTGTGTACATGCTTCTACACTGCATAATAAAAATGAGAGATCTTAGTTTTGAAACTGTCTTTGAGAGGTAAGACTATAGTAGAAAAAAGAGCTGGTACTTTAATGTCTAACTATACAAAGTTTTATGTTTGGGCTTGGGGCTTTTAGAAAGAAATATGTATAGTACCAGTAACAAGCAGAAGGTGGAACTCAGCACTCTGAAGGGTTAAAGTGAACTTTATTCTTCCACTGGTCACCCTCTGGTACTGTGTCTTCATAAATTTCCTCTGTTTATGGAGTGTTTCTGATGGCAGGCAATTCTTTGTTGAAAGTTAAGTGCTCTTTTATATGAATAAATAAAGGAGGCTTTGGTTTGAATGAATACATTATTTTGACAAATGTTTATTGGAAACCCAATTATGGCTTCATAAATCAGTGCTATCTGTGGTACATCAGGTGAGCTCACCAATGCCATCAAATGGCACATTGAATATTAGTAGGATAATTAAAACAATTCTGTTGAATGTTGTCCCTCTTACCTAGGTCTGACAGTAGTCAAAACAGGAAGAAATTGTTTATTATTTTTATTTAACTTATTAAAATACTTCTTGTAAGATGTAATGGACATACTTAAGAAAAAAGAAAAAAAAACATTTGTTTTCAATTTGCAGTCAGATGAAAATGACAAGGTCAGGCACAATGCATGAACGGAGTGGCAGCTGAATTTTAAGAGTAGTCAGGGAACAGAAAGGATATGTATGAAGTCTATTGTTTGAACCTTACACATAGCTGAAGTGAGGCTTTGCTATTTTTGTCTGAAGTGGTCATCGATGACATGAAATGTGCCTAGAATCAATTCACTTGCTTCCTTGTCCTCCTGCTACAGCGGTTCTGAACTAGAACGGTCAAATGAATGAGAAGCTGTTTTCATAACTATGAAAATGAAGAGAATCAAGTGACAATCTTGAACTCAAGGTCCAGAAGAAAGGGAGGATGTTAAAGTTGAAAATAAATAAATAAAAGTCTATAGGGGACAAGCTAACAGGAATTCCCATCTCCTGAGGTCCTCTGACTGATGACAGACATTTACAGTGTCTGTGGCAGGATACTGAAGATCTGTTTGAGCTTTATGAAAAGAATCTGCATGATTTCCCAAAGGATTGTTTCCCTGTTTTAGGATACGACTAAATGTATATCCACTAGGACTTTCAAGCATTAAATAGGGATTGAAATTTAAGTTAATTAGGTTTTGTGCGTATTTGTATTAATGTGATATAAATGGCCACATAGATGCCTTTCTTACTAACTCAGCTTCAGTATAGCATTATTGTCAGTGCCACAGAAGATGGAATGAGGAGAACAACAGAAGTCAGCACAACATTCAGCTTTTCTTCCATGAAAGAAAATGAGTGTTAAGAGTTGGCCAGAGAGAAGGCAACAAAATACTTGTACTTGGAATTTGTCAGTTCACAGAAAGAGGAAAAAAATCACTAAGATAAGATAATTTTTTTTCTTTCATCAGAACCTAATCTTCCTCTAGAGCAACTCAGGCTCCGGATTTCTGGCACCTGGCAGCAGGCAGACAGCCTGGAAGCCCCAGGGCTGAAAGTCCCATATTAGGACTTCTGAGAAGCTTGTATTTCCCCAGAGATCTGCTTCTCAGATAATGTAAGTTTGAGGTCTTCTTCCAAATAACGGTTCAACAAAATTTTGCAATTTTCTGCAAGACAGAGATAATATTCTCCTTTTTCCGCCCTACCTTACCCTAGTCACTTCTCAGGATTTCAGATGAACAAACAATAAAGTCTGTGAAGCAATACAGGGGTAGTCTTCACTGTTCAGGAGCCTATTTTTTCCATAGCAAAATAGGAGTACATTCAGCCTAAAACCAGACATGCATTTTGCTGTGAAGTGCACCATTACCAATAATAAATACTCTGTAGAAAAGGGAGACCAACTTGGGGCAATCATGGTGCATAAAGCTGGATGGAGCCTTAGGCTTTTTCTTTTACCTAAGCAGCCTTTGCAGGGCTGATACATCTCTTTTCCAGATTAGAGAGAAGCGAAGGTGATGTTTTATAGATTCATTTCAGGAAAACTATTGCTTAGGTTTCATGAATTGTGCTTTTTGATGTCTTACCTTCTGGACCTACGTTCTAGTTACCTCTAAGTGGAAATGAGGGATTTCAGAAGTAAATTCTTCTTACTATGCTGCTTTTTTATGAGTATCTTCAGAAAGACAGACCATTAAATCCAAGCTATGCACCTAGAAATTAATTTTCTTGAATAGGATTAAGGAGATGTAAGTGCTTGGCCTGCTAAAGAGAACTATGGCAATGCAACAGGAAAGAAACACATTTAGAAACTTCCCCAAGCTCTGCTAAGGCTGGAAGGGTAACAAGCAAAAGGCGGTCTGTAGTCCATGGACTTGAGGCACAAGGCACAGGACACAGCTCTTCAGCACCCTGTGTCAACCACGCATCAGCCCTTCCACCAAACTTTCAGGGATGTTTGCTGTCAATCAATACTGCTAACAGATTTGGTTCCTGGCAAAGTTTATCAGTTTTTCTTATCTCTAGTCTCTTTTCTTAAACCCTGCTTCCTCCCTTTGCCTGTGGCTACTCTAACTGCAAATGTGAATTATTAGAAGGGGAAAGGAGGGGAGAGAAAGAGCATCAGTTTCATAATTCAGATTTTAAACACAGCAGCTCTGAAAGACTTCCATTTAGGTTTTATTTCTGAAGAAGATGTGGCTATAAACCTTGTTTCCTTTATTATTGATTTAGCATTCGAACATAGGACTGAAATGTTGTCTAATCTGACTCTGCCTTCTGCCAAAAAATCTTGATGGACAAGCTGGTCATTCCATACTTTCCCAGCCCCTGAGAGTGCAACGCATCAGAACAGTTGCCTCTCTTTTCTCCAGTGACAAAGACAAAAGAAGCTACACCACTGCATATCTTGCATAGCCCCCTATTTCAGTGGAAACCAGCATTTAAAGTACTACATCTTAGAGTTCCAAGGAGAGGAAGGCTTCAAGGAAGAGAGTTCTTCCTTTATATGTAAGGTTCCTGTTGCTACCCATAAATCACTCAGGCTGCTATTATAATCCAGAACAACAAGCTGGCATCACCCCTAAATACAGAAGGTTGTGTGAAAGATTAGCAGAACAAAAACAATAAAGGAGTCATTAAAACACCTAGAAGATAAAATGCTTGAAAATATTTCCACAAATTTCCTTGTGGAAAGACAGTGACTGAGCCATAAATCAAAGCAGCTATTCTTCAGGAGCTATTTAAGGAGAAGGTTTTGTTTGTAGCTATGCTCAGCTAAAGAACTGCAGCTATTAGACTAATGAGGAGAAGCAGATAACTGATCACTGGCCCCAGTTATTTCAAATGCACTTCTCTTTCCTTCCAGCAAGAAAAGCAAGCCTTGTTTTTAACATCAACATGAATACAATATGTTTTTAAAGCTAGCTTTCATTTGATTAACTTTTAGCTTTTCCTGTATTTTATTTGTGTGGCTGAAAACTAAAACAGTGAATTATGTTGGATGGATAGATTAAATTGCTGCTTTTCCAAAGTAACTTTGACCAGCACATAGAGAAATATTCATGTTATAAAAGTTTTGTGCAGAATCACAGAACACAATAGTTATTCAAGCCAGTAACTCTGGTCCATTATGTACTACTCAATGATAATGCATGGCAAACAATGACAGAGAAACAGAATTTGCTTTGAAGTCAATACAAGAAAATCTATACTGTTCATTGCATTATGAAATTTTGAAATCTATCAATTTCTACTCTATCTTTTTTCTTGCCTCTCCGTCAACTTCATCTGAACATGCCTGTGATCCTACAATAAACAACAAGAAAAATAATGCCTAACACCAGACCAAGAACAGTTAGGATGCTCGCAATTGTAAAATGTATTTCCTTAATAATGGAAGGTTTCCAAAACATATATACAAGCAAAATACCTAGAGTTACAACAGTGTAAGTAGCATAATAAATAGAAATGCGAACTTTTTGGTTTTCTTCCCTTTATGTTAAAAAATTTAAAAATTAGAATTATTCCACCAACAGTTCGGTAGAGATGCTCCATCTTCTTAGATTTGCAAAACATCATATGTTGTTTCGAAATCCAGGTGAAGCCACAGATCCAAAGAAATATCAGCAGAATTACAGAACTTCTAACACTTAGCAGAGTGATCAGTGAAATATTGAGTATCCAAGAAGTGATGGTAAGCAGTTTATAGAATAGATACGCTAACTTGGGAAGCACACAAAATTCATCTTTATCAGGCAGAGATTTTTGTAATTATATCTGATAATCAACTATTGCAAAGGAGGTACCACAAAAGGACATACTAATGGCAGCATCTAAACAAAACACAAGGATAAATGTTAAACCTAAGAAAGAGAGTTATTTTGCATTTAAATTTTTGAATGAACTTTTGGACAAGTTCACAACTTCTTAAGGCTTTCTGTATATCACTTTTATATTTCCTCTGTGCACTTGAACAAGTCTTCTTAATTTTAAGGCTCAGTGTAGCTATCTAAATCTAGGCATCTAATGCTGTTTGGAATGCCTATGTCATCTTGCCCAGCCTCTGGCCATTGATGGTCTAGCCTAAGTTGTGTGTCATATTTGCCATCTTCATACACAGATGACTTAGAGATTCCCAAAATATTGCAAATAGCTAATAAAAACTTAAGTTTCAGCAACTGATTTTGAGTCTGGGTGTCTGTAATGTAGAAATGTATAAATAAGACTTAATCATTCACATGGTCATATTTAAGACGAGATTCATCTGACCATTTTGTCTGAGTACCTATTGACTCCACGGGCTATGAAGAAACACTGAACAGCAACATGAGTCTCTCCATTTGATTAGATAAATTCCAACCCTGAGTAAGTCAACGTCTTGCAAATAATGCTGCTAGTTTTAGAGCTGGAAATGGTACAGCTGCTGTCTTGCTTCCGGGAGTTGGACGAGTATCGTCCAACATCGTATTGCCTTCTGCAATGTTGGCATACCCTTAGTCTTTTCTGACTCTGTCCCTTGTCTGTAACACATGGATGATGGTAGTGACAGCTCACAGGGCTGCTCTAAATACATTACTGATTTCAAGACACCCAGTTAGTAGTTTTAAAAGAAACTGTAAGCAAAAGCGCGCACAAAAAAATTGCTCTGCAAATTATATACTAATGGTATTCAAGAGCTTATTTTCAAGTGACGTATCATTATGTTTCTATTATTAGATGTATCATTAAATGTATCATTTCTATTAGATATATCATTATGTTTCTATTAGATATTATGACTTGTGAAATCTTCCTTCTTATGGATTTAGCAGAACAGACCATCTACTAGACCAAAATTCTAACTAAATGCAGAGTAATTACATTGTGGAGTGTATGTTTTCCAAGGTATCTTTAAAATGTTATCCAATCACATGAGTTATCATTTTAGGTAAGATACTCAACTTGCAAATTAAGGAGAAAAGCAGACTCACATTGACAGTAATTGTTTTTGCCATGTTCCATGAGGATGTAAATCTGGACAAAAAGCTGTGGCGTGGTCTCAAGAAAAGTCTTGAACACCCTGAGCATGTTAATATCAGTCACTACAGCAACAGCTTGTTCTTGAATGAAGTTGGGAGGGTCTGTTTTTGATGCATCTCCACTGCTGCTTTATTTAAATGCAGCTGGGCAGCCCTACTGCAGAGCAAATCAATATCTATTAAAAAAGGAAACTTGATTAGACAGCATTTTTTAAAAGTGCAACTCAATAAAATGATAAAGACTAACAACATTTTTTCCCATTTCATTCCCCATTCACATTTTATCTTTGAATATAATCCAGCACCTTCTACTAAGATAAAATTTAGCCCAACATCTGTCTGGTATCAGTGGTATCAGATAAATATTTATGACCAGTAATATAAATGTAATGTAAAAACTACTAGAACAAAATAAGAATTGCTTGAATAAAGATTATGGGCTTTATTTTGCTAGGTTCTTATTTCTTTAAAAGTATTGCATTTCTGAAAATTCCCTTAGCATTTCTTCTCAGTTTCTCTTTGAGATACTCATTCGCTTTCTTTGTGTCTTTTTAAAGGTATCAGTGAATATCCAGCAGTGAGCATTCACATCTATATATAGATCCATAAGCCCCAAGGATGATATCTGATGAATTGCAAACATACAACAGGCTTTAAAAAAAAAAAAAACAAAACACTACAGTGTTATTTTCCAAATACTCAGGAAGACATTAATTTCAGAAAATTATTTTCAAGACACATGGATTCCTGGGTTGACAGATTCTATTAATAATCTGAGTGGTTTTACATGAAGAAGTCATTTGCCTTGCAAATGACTGCACTTGAATGACTTTTAGAACAGTTCTGATTTATTTTCAATTAAGCCTAAATGAACATTTCCTCTAAAACAGCAGTAAATGCAAAGATACATGGAATTAGTTAGTCATGACTGGTGTACATTCTGTGTGGTAAAGAACCTCGTCTGTTCAGGCTATCTCTAATGTTTTGCTTAGAGATAAGTAAAGCCCAGCTCATTTTCAAGACCTTTGCTTCAGGCCTGGAGGTGGACATAACACCTCTTACATTTTAATCAAAAACTGTGGAAAAATAACAGAAATTGGGGGGGATGGGAGAACACCGTCTCCCAAAGATCAGCTTACATCTTAACACAAGCTGTAATATCAGAGCAGCTTTGAGGCGAGACACAGTTGCTGCTCCCAGGAACGGAGTGCACTTAGAATGGACAAGGCCTGCATCTGAACAAACAGAATGCACAATATCCTTGGAATGCGGAGTAGAGTGGTACAGAGGTACCACGGCTCATCCCTGCTATCAGAGATAGAGTGTCCAGTAAAGATAACCGTATAGCTGCCATCAAGGAAGATGGATCACAACTGCTGCCTCAGCAATGATGGTGAAATCATGTCCTGAAGCTGAACTTTGATCATTATAACGTCATTACAATACCAAAACACACCTCCATCTCAAAAGCTACCCACCTCTGGGCTGTGGCCACCCTTCACTGAGCATGTGCTCTGAAATTCTTCTAGTCTGCACCTTTAAACCAAAGTGAGGAAAATGTATGCCAATCCTGACAAAGGTATGTATGACTAGAGTCACTTAAGCTCCACCTGAAAGTAACAAACAGTATAAAAATGGCTTAAGAGAAGAGGATGTTGGGTTAAGACCTACATTGGAACTTCTGAGACCCGTTGACGGGCTGGACTTTTCTCCCCCTTATAGGGACACCAATTGGGTAAGAGCTCTGTGTTACGCACACTTAGTTACTAACATCTTGCTAGCTATTAAAATCATCACTGATCAGTTCTGTTTGTATATTGTTCCAAATCTGTTTTCACAGTTAGTATCTTATCACCGGCTATCCTCGAACCTGTATCCTGTCATGAACATATATAATAAAATTAGTTTATCTATAAATATGAATTTCTGGAAACTTCAATAATTGATACAGAGGATATAAGGGATCTGTTCCAGTGTCGCTGCTTGTGAGGTGGTTAGGTGACCACCCTCCGACCTTGCAGGCTGTCCAGAGGGATTTGTCCCAGTGACACTGTCAGCATAAGCCTGACAGGTTGATCAAATTGTAAAGGGTTCAAGGAAAATCCCCTTCTTCTTAAACGGGATGTGGCAGGCGGGTCGGATACGAGGGTCTCATCTTTCTTGGGAAACGGGCAGGCTGGTCAAATTGAAAAGGGTTCGAGGTAGTCCCCCTCTCTGTCCTCTATTGACTCAACATTGTACTTTTTTGTGGCAAAAACCATTTTGATAACTAAGGGAGGAACCAGCTATTGTATATGGTAATCTTTACAGCTGAGTTTAGGAAAACAGGACAGTGGTTACAACCTGATGAAGGAGCAGAACTCCAGCTGCTGGAAATTATAGTATTTCCACTGTCCTTAATGGACTCACACACACACACACAGCCCTGGTGAATGATCTGACTCATTGCTCTAGTGCTTTGGAAGACAAAGGAGGTAGGTAATGCTCCTTTCTGTAGCAGATGAAATGGGGCAATTCCAGAAGAATGGGTTTCCATGGCTAAAGACCTCTTTCCAGTTGAACTGTTCAGTTTAGGACTGAGGCTTGTCAGGCTTGCTCTGTTTGAAGTTTTCTTGACCTGTCTGTGACTTTGTTTTACTTGGTTTAGCTTGGATTTCCTGCAGAAAAATTGATTTCTTCCAGTTGTCCAGGCAGCTAATTTGTTTTACTTTTGTTCATTTTTGCGTGATACGGCCATAGTTTTATATAGGTAACAGTTTATATAGGCAAGACTAACAAACAGGTATTCTGTATTGAATGAGACATTTATGACGGACATGATGACGTTGAATAGAGAAATATAGTCCTGGTATGATAGCAGAGGTCCTGAGATGTGGGCACACAGGATGCAGTATAGAAGAATACATGGATAGGATGATAAGGGTTAGCTTGACACTGGAGATTCCACAGCTATAAACACACCAATGGTCACTTATACAAATGCAGACCTGGAGCTGGATGAAACTAGTTTGGATGTAACAGGAAGTTGCAGAGAAGTAGGAGAAAGCAAAGTCTGAGAGTGTGTCAGCAAACACAAAAAAGACCCAAAGTGGATCCAAAGGGTGAAGAAGAAAAAGCCATCAACATCAACATCATGTTTCTCTCAGCAAGACTCCAGACACTGGTAATGCCCTTAACATGCTCCCCAACCAGAATGAAACTGCTGACATTAGGACCCAGAGGAGCAGAAGGGTGAGCAAAACACAAGGAAAAGGGATAGGAACAAAGAAATATGTGTGCAAACAATTTTAACCATATTATTATTATTGAAAATTTTTATGCATAGAAGTGTTCTTTCTTTTCCTGTAATAAATAGATCTAGACTAATAATGATTCTTGGAATCAACTGTTATGACTTCACTTATAATAATAACTTCTTGGCTTTATAGGTATATAAATCCTGTGTGTTTCCCCATAAACAGGATTTTGAGCATGACAGCCTTCAGACATCACTTTCAAACCTATTTCTGCCTATTCAATTCCCAGATGTCTTAAGCTTCCAATATTCTTCTCCAGTAAACCCATTTTGACTATAACTAGCTGGCAAGGACAGCAAAAGCAGTCCTTTTTCAAGAAAACTCACTGTTACTCAACTAACTTTTCTAGCATTATAAACACTGCTAAAGGTCTTCCTCTTGACAGAAGAATTTAGTCAGCTGGATTATGAAGATCACATCATTCATTCAGGTCTATTTTCTTGAGAAATCAAGCAGACCACCACAGGCCATCACGTGGTGACCTTACACAGTTGTACAAGCCTGCTAACGTGTAGGCTGAGAAAGACAAGGTCCTGTGCCTTAGCTTGCCTCCTACTTCTATTCCCTCAGGCTGCATCTGAGACGATTTCAAGATTCATGCTGAAGTGCTGCAGGTTCCTAATTCCCTGATCGCCCGCAGGGTCACACGCACTAAGGATCACATGAAACCCATGTGGTTGCAGTTCCTTTACATAGAAAATGGGACAGCAGATCATTAGACACCCAAATCTCATCCCAGTGTGACCTGGGAGCGCAGTCCCTGCCTGCTTACAAAGGGAGCTAGGAAGAATTCCTGGCTCCTCCAGGTGTTAAACTTTTAACATCTTCACCATCTTTGAAGACCAAATCCTTTGACCACGGGGGAGACAGCATCAGGGGTTCTTCCACAGCTACAAGCAAAACAGCTGGGATTTGCAGGTCCTAGGTTAAGTGCATGCTAGAGGAATCATGACTTACTCCATGGTATGTTAAAGCATGTCAGCCATACAAGTAAGAATTGCAACCTGGAAGCATCAGTAGTAGGTGTGGAGCAGATATGTTACTACTGAGGAGCCTTAGGTGAAGATTCTTTGCTCTTCTCCTTGCAGAGACTCATAGAATGCAGCCCTGCAGTCCAAGCCATATATTGATTCTGTGAGCTGGCTCTGGATCTGTTATTTACTCCCAAAGGAAACTATTTTCTACTTTTATGCTTTTGTGTATTTATCTTACTGTTCTCTGAATAATCGCTCATAAGCAGAGAACTGAACTGTTTGGCAAGGCATCTATAGCTTTTTCAGTTTATAAAACAAATTGTATCCCAAAACATCTGGTTCTTGCATTTAAGATGTAAACATCTGGAGAGTTTGCAATGTTTTCAAGGAAAAACAATTGGGTAGACCAATCTGTTCATTGTCCATGGACTGATTCACCAGAGCCTGTGTTTGTCCAAGCAGCAAGAAGTAGAAAACAGCTGCACAAATTTCGGGCTGCAGAGTTCACAGCTGAGAAGGCAGATGATAAGCAAGGCAAGAACCAGACATGTTGTAAAAGAAATATTTCAGCTGGATGCACACCTGAAATCACTTGTCAGTTTTTGGAAGCGTATTCCTTCTAAACTGAGTATGGTATACTAGGTTTATAGTGTTATAAGGTGGTATGCTATAGTATTTTTCACTAGTTGTAGCTATTTCAGTTAGTCCACGTCTGACTTTGAATACTGTATAGAATACATTGTTTTTTCTAGAAAAGTCCAAATACTTCCATTCCTCTTGGACTATGTATTAAGTGAGGTGGCGTTCCCAG